AAAAAAAAGATACCCCCAAGTACAAAGAATAAATCCAAGATTTTTTTTTGAGGTGGAGTCTCACTCTGTCACCCAGGCTAGAGTGCAGTGGCAGACTCAAACCTCTGCAGCCTCGACCTAGAACTACAGGCGCACACTACCACGCCTGGCTTATTTTTGGATTTATTGTAGAGACGAGGTCTCACCACATTGCCCTGGCTGGTCTTGAACCCCTGAGATTAGGCAATTCTCTCACCTCAGTCTCCCAAAGTGCTGGGATTACAGGCTTGAGTCACACACCTGGCCTACTGTAGAGATTGAATTTAAATATTCTGGAATAAAGATTCCTCTTAAAGTTAAAATAGCTGAGAAAAATATTCAGATGAAATTAATGTCACCCACAAAAGACAAGCATAGAAACTCTTAAATAAATTTTTTAAACAAGGTGGTACTGGAGTTTTTTTAAATAGATAACACCACATCAAGTTAAAAAGCTGGCTAAATAACCATAAAACTTTTATTTCTCCAGAAAGTAAGCTGTGTGGGTAGCACAGACAAATTGAGATTGTTTTTCCCTATTAAGAAAAAAAATTAGCCAGGCATGATGGCTCACACCTATAATCCCAGCACTTTAGGAGGCGGTGGTGAGAGGACTGCCTGAGCCCGGGGTTGGAGACCAGCCTGGGCAACTTGGTGAGACCTCATCTCTACAATGAATAAAAAAATTAGCCCAGTATGGTGATGCACACACCTGTGGTTCCAGCTACTTGGAAGGCTGAGGTAGAAGGACCACCTGAGTCCAGCAGGTTGAGGCTGCAGTGGCTGTCGGTGTGCCACTGCACTCCAGCCTGTGTGACAGAGTGAGACTCTAACTCAAAAAATTAAAAAAAAAACAAAAAAACCCGATGTATTTCAACATGGCATATCAGTCAAATGATTATCTTTCAAGTTCTTTAAATTTAAGTATTAACTGAGATTTAATTTCTGCCACCTAAATTAGTAACCAGTACTACAGTCAAAATCACTTAATTATGTCCAAATCAACACAAAAGACTAGTGTCAACCCTAAGCAGGACACCAGTTGGTTCACTGTGGTATGTGCATAAAATGTGGCCATGAAAAATGAGAAAGCTCTTTATAGAGTGATAGAGAGCAATCCCCATCAACACAATTTAAATGAACAAAAAAGAACAGTTGTTCTTCCCTCCAATCTTAGGGTTATCTCCCCCTCTCATTTCCCTAAAACCTGGCATTATGGATTATTCTTCGGCTTTTGTCAACCTCTTATACGCAACTGGACCATTCATTCATTTATGTCTGAAACCCTCCTTCTCTGACCACCATAATCTCACATCTCCCTCTTCAGATACCACTCTTTTCTTTCACAGTCAGGCTTATGGTAGGAGCTACCTAAACTTCCCCCTCTATTTCCTCATCTTTCACACTCTGACCCAATCCAATCCGACACCTGCTTCTATCAAACCAGCAGAACAGCTCTCAACAGGGTCATCTCTAAATCCAATGTCTCTATGCCCTCGTCTTACTTAATATCCAGGAGCATTTGAACCTACCCACCGCCTCTGTGCCTTTCTTTGGCTTCAAATTTTCTGATTCTCTGGTTGCTCCTTCTCAGACAACTTTATCAGCTTCACTTCCTCTAGCAAACCTCAGGATTTAGTCCTAGCTCTAGGCCCTTTTCCCATCCACCAAAGTGACTCTTCTACACCCACACTTTCCAGTACCATCCCTACATTTGTCATTTTATTTCTCTAGCTCAGACCTTTTCTGAACTGTACACCAGTCCACCCAAATACCCAGGTGACATCTACATTCAGATTTCATAAAGGCACCACAGTCTTACCACATCCTAAACCAAATCATCCAGCTATTGTCTATCCCATTCTGCTCCTTCTCTAGCTTTCTGTAGCTCAGTATACTGTAATTACTATGATCTTAGTCGCCCATGTCAAAAACCTGGGTTACCCTGACAATGCCATCTGCTTCACTAATTCCTAGATCCTACTTCCCTAATAACGTTGAGCTTTTCCACTACTCTCCATCTCCATTGTCACCACTCTAGACACAAGCTCCATAATTTCTCAATGGAAGAACTGACAATCATAACCTATTCTTCTCTATAGTCAATCTGGCTCCTACCCATCAACCTGTTTTCAGTTGCCAGATCAAAAACCTGGCAATACTTTCCTCTTTACTCATTGCAACCAAGTGAGAATACAGCAGACAGAACAGTATTTTTCCAAAGCAAATATGACATCCTTATGAGAGAAAATATTTTTTTAAATTCCTAGAAGGTTGGGGTGAGGAGGAAGAATGATCATGAGTAGTTAAAGGCAACTTGAGATTTACCTGACTTTTTTATTTCTCTATCCTTTTTTTTAAAAGAAAAAATCAAAGGAAGTTTTAAAATGAACGCTTGGCCCCGGGGAAGATGGCGGCTGAGCCAGTAGGATGATGCAAGTCCCCGTGTGAGTGAGTGTATGGAAAATTCTGTGTATACACTGGTGAGTGAGTGAGTACGTGAGTGGCTGATTGAGTGAGGACTAGGGAGCTAGCGGCCAGGGCTCTCCTGGTACAGCAGCTGGTGCCACGGCAGTTGGGCTTAGACCACAGAGATTCCTGGGATGCAGAAGTCGAACGCCATTTTCTTTTTCTTTCTTTCTTTCTTTTTTAAATCAACAAACCCTCCATGGGAAGAAAATTCTGGGAGAGGCTGCCTAAGTGGAGCTTGTGAGAAGGTGGCCAGGCCCCTGGTGCAACAGCTGGCGCTGCCACTTCTCTACTTCGTCCTTGGCTTTTTCCAGGTCGCAGAAGCAGAGTGCCATTGTTTTTTTTTTAAACAGACAGAAGTTTTCCTTTGAAAAAGTGGCGGGGAGAAACTATCACCCCACACTTTCCCTCACCATTGAAACAAGAGAAAGACTGGAGTCTTCTGGCTTTGCCTCACCACTTCAGCACCTGGCAGGGCTCTGACAGGGGTTGTGGAGGGACAGAGGCAAGTGCCCACAGAAGAGGACAAGAGAGACACCCCACCACCATCTTGAAGGCGGGGCA